TTTTTGGAATATAAAGCGATTTTAAGATTAGAAGCATGAAGGTTACTTTTCAAATGCTCTGTGCATAGCTTTTGCTAGTAATTTTCTTCCCCTTTCTCTTTTCTACCTTCCTTCCCAGAATAACTGTAAAGTAGATGTGTATGTCTGTACCAGGAATCATTTCCTTGACTCCCTTAGGCCTCTTGACCTTCTCTGATACACATATCAGACACGAGATGAACTCAAGCTTGTCTGTTTAAACAGGCAAGATCAGCTTTGTTCAGAAAGCCATCTGATAAAAATGGACAAATTTATGGGCACTGCTTTCGTTGCTTTGCTTACTTCTAAGCTGTTATGGAAGCCATGTCCCAGAGTGGCACCAGAAGACTATGTCCTAGTGAGGGACAGCTCTCTGAGTCAGTCATGGCCTCATTTGGCGTTAAAGAGGTGTGGGTTTCAATCAGTAGTTTGGTATATCCTGAAGAGCCCACAAGTTAGTTCAGAGATTGCTGGCAAAATGAGATTACAAGGTAGGAAGTGTTACGCAGATGATAGGTTCTACTGCTGGCATACAGCTTCCTCAGTGAAACATGAAAACGTTTCTTCTCTGGCTTGCAGCAGGTGACTCCCTAAGAAACTATTTCTTGAAGCTCATATATTTAGAACTATAGAATCAAGTTTTTTGTCCTAGACTTTTTACTTACACTCCTTTGTAAAGGTAGGTTGCAAGGTTGGATCACAAACATATAAAAAAGCCTCACTGAAAGAACTGGTGGCAAGTCAGACCAGAACTGAGACAAGCATCTTCTCTTTTACCAGGCATTTTTAACATTTGGGAAGGATGTGTTTCATCTGTCCTGGAAAACTGCACTGAAGCATCTGTTGATTTCATTAAAACACAAAGTTTCATAGGTTATGAGGCCAGAAAGCCATTATGATAATCTAGGCTGATTTGCTATATAATTAATTCCTGTCTCACTATGTCTTTTAGAGAAGACAAGATACTATTTTAATTTAAAGTTTGCCAGTAGCAGAGAACACACCATAACCTGTAGTAAATTATTTCAATAGCAAATTACTCTCATGTAAAAATAAGTCATAGTATTTTAAAATGTGAATTTCTCTAACTTCAGTTTCTAGCCCCTGGATCCCATTATTCCTCTGTCACATGGACTGAAGAGCCCTCTATTGCCAAATTCCATTTTCTGCACAGATACTCATAGATTGCAATCGAATCACCCTTTAGCCTCTACTTATTAAACAGACTGAATTTGAGTGTTCTTCACTATGGGACACGCAGTCCAGTCATTTAATTATATTCCCTTTTTTAATTCTTGAAAGTTTGGTTTAAAAATTGAACTGCAGGTATCAGAAGCTGCCTTAGTGTTTCATTTCCCAAGCCAGAGATGCTGTTGTCTCTCTATTCCTCCTCAGGATTCACCTTGGGTTTACACCCAAGAATTATTTTTATCCTTTTGTTTATAGGGCTGAGAGTTCTGGTGTACCTGAGTATGCATCAAGATCTTGATGCCCAAATGTTACTGTCAATGACACCTTAAGTCAGCTGTGTGAACACTTGTACTTTTTCCTTAAATACAGGTGCTTTTTAAATTTCTCAAGGTAGGTTGTGGGTGTGAGGGTTTTTTTAAGAAAATGATGTAGAACAACAAACACTTGAATAATAGAGATTCAGATTTGGGTGGATCTGTTTCTTTGAAAAGATTGAATTCAGAACTCTTGTATCTATTCAGCACCATTTCTCTCTCTTCCCCAAGTCTTCCTTTGTGCTTGCTTTCTTGGTCCTTTCTTTCAAACTTGCTCTCAGATCCTACATTGTTAGTGACTTTCTGAGTTACAGCTAAATCCATGTAATTTCCTCTAGATCCTTTGAAAGTCTCTGTCTCAACAGGATTCTCCAGCTGTGGTACTGGTATGACTAATGAAATACGAGGCAGTCTGCAGCAAACCTCAAATAAACCCAAAGACAGACCTGCTGTGTTTCCCCAGAAGAGATGGGAATTGTTACTCAAGTATCAAATACGTGAAAGGGGGAGATGTAACCTTTATGTGGCTTAGCTGAGAGTTGGAAGCTGATTATGTGTATATGATCATATTCCTTCTACCAGCTACCTGCAGAGGTTTCTGAAAGCTAAGTCATAGCTAGCTACAGCCTAGCACCAGCCATCAATCATATGTTGGGTATTCTGCTCCCTTTCTGCTCCTATGATATGTGGAAGGGCTGGGTCAAGATACAGTTTAGAGGAGTGTTGGTTTGAGCAACTGTTAGTAGGCAGTTCTCCTACGTTAGGATCATTAAAGTCACAGTTCATTCAGGCCTGGCATTCTCTTGCCCACAAAAGCAACTCCATACTGGGGTGAAACCAAAAACGCAGCATTGCACCAAAGTCGTACCAGTCAGGGAGTCCGGTATGTATGTGCTGGCAGAAGGACTCTGTCCACAGGACCCCATTTCCAATTACCCTCTTTCCCAGGCTGTCCCTGCGGTGGGACAAGGATTAGACTATACACAACCTACTATACATGTAGATTCTTTAAGAACATGAGAAAAGCCCTAGTGGGCCTGAAGAACAGTCAATCCATTTACCCAGTATTCTGCCTCCTGTAGTGGCGGGTGCAACTGCCATTTAGGGAGAGTCTGTGAGCATGGCTACTATCAGTGGTGCGTGCATTCCCCTTACGCTCCCACAGCATCTACTGCTTTTGGATTAGGATTATTAGAAGGTCCATCTCTTCCCTTTCCCTTTAATATCAGTTTGTGGACTTGCTGTCCATTTATCTTTCTTGGTTCTTTTTGAGCCTGCAGGTGCTGCCTGCTTCCATGACCTCCTGTGGCAGCAAGTTTGAAGTTCACTACCCTCTGTGTAAATAAGTACTTCTAAAAATCCATTTTAAAGTGATATCCTACAAGTTTCAGTAAGTGCCTCTGGTTCTATGATTGCCAGATTTGGTAAAGAGCAGTTCTACATTAACCTTCTCCATCTTCTGTAAACCTCAACCATATTTTTTCTCAGTCCTCTCCAAATATAAGAGTCCTGGCCTTTTTTGGCTATCTTCATAAAGCATCCTGCTCCATCCTCTTAATTGTTCTATTTATTTTCCTCTGTACTTTCAGCTCCTCTGTTTCCTTGAGATGCAGGGACAAGACTGCATGCAGCGCTTAGAACTAGTGTCTGGCTGAGGTGCACCTACCTCATTGCCTGGCAAGAGGGGGAGGCTTTAATGCACAGCCTTGCTGAGTCACTGGAAGGAGGTGTATGGTCTGTCTAGCAAGAGCATTTGACATGGTTAATCCATAGAATGAAACTACTACAGTCCCACAAATTGAAAATATAGTTTATTCCTGTTGTGGATATTAACAGACTTGATGTTTTTGAAATCCGTGCGAGGGCAGAGTGCTTTATTGGGAAATGGAGCAAAACACGCTATTGTGGGTCAATACTGTCCTCTGCTGGGAGGAACTACAGCTTTGTGCCATGATGCCAAATGGGAATTGACAGCTGGCTTCTCCTTTCACTCTCATGTAGGGTATTTTGCCTTTGCAACAGGAAAATCTGATGCTGTGCTGGCTGCACTGGGGAAATTCTCCTTTAATGCTTAGTGAAAGCTGGAAATTCTTTGCTTGCTACAAATGTGTTGAATGTGATTTCATTTATTTTTCATCCTGAGGTCACCTACTTTGGAAGCTTATCCCTCATTCTGTCTTTCGTTTGCCTTTTAATACTGCTGCATGCTCATTTCTGACCTTCCTCTCCTATTTGTAGAATTAACTATGCATATCTCCTTTCTCTTCTCTTTTCATAGCAATTTGCTGGCAATGCATCCTCATAGCATTTTGAAAGCAGAAATCAAATGTGTGTGTACATATATGCTATATGTAATAGACAAAAAGTATTTTAAAGTGATAACTCCTTAGAAGAAATCAGTCTTCAGTCGTGTTGCAGAATAGGAATTCAATCAAATTTGCGCTAGTTGCAGAAATGCTTTTGCGTGTTGTATGTGCCAGCCCTGGGTTTAGGAAGCACAAAAGGCAGTTGAGAGAAAGTATAGTTTACAAACATCTCAGTTTTGTGCCTTCTCCAGTTCCTGCCTCTGTGAGAATGACATGGGGCAGAGAGGAGTCCTCTTCGCAAGGCATTAATTCTGTACCTATGAGAAAGAGAAGGGCAGGAGGTCTGGACTCCTGAGCAAGCCAGGTGTGCTCAGGAGTGCTTGCCTGTTTGGGACTCTTGGCTAATTTCTATCCATGTAGCAACACAGAGGCCAGAGTTCTGGTCCTTAACCCAGAGAGAGTAAGAGTCCAGGCACTGAATACGTACAGGCTTTTATGTGTTAGCGCAGAGTGCATACGTTTCTTGAGGCGAGGGTAAGCTATGCAGATACCTCCATAGCAAGTTTGTGCCTGTAGTGATCTAAGATTTCTTGGTCAGAGAAATTTTAAGTCTTTGGTTTTCCCTGTAGCTCTTTAGGAGCCAGAGCGCAATCACCAACAGTTCACAGCAACTTGCTTAAATTTTTTTGCATCTCTCTCCTAGTAGTTAAGTGGACTTATAGAAATAATAGAGAAATGACAGTGGTGGTACAGAGTTCCCTGCTGTGGCTAGCAGAGATGGACATGGAGGTTACACTTTGTTATGTATTTTGTGTGGGATTTATGCAAATATAACAGCATGATACCAGACACACACTGTATTTTATGTACAAAAGCTTTTACAGCAGAGTGGGCCTGTGGTAGAGTTAATTGTTCTCACTGTCCTTCAGTTAAATGTTCTCTTCTGCCTGCTTATCTGATCTATAGTCATCAAAAAGTACCCATTGCTGTCACTTCTATACACACTGCTGGTTGTGCTCTCTCCCTCTGTCATCATGTCAGACTCTTGCATGGTCTCCTTTCTGCTCCCCACTGCCTTTTGGGAGAAGTTTATCTCCCATGGCTGAAAGTAATTGGGGTATTTGTATTGTATGCAGGATTGATGTATGATGTTTTTCCTTGTGTCTGGCAGGTTGTTTATAAGAATAACGACATTCGTCTGGAGCTGTCTCGCTTGGCACGGATTGGTGATACTAAGATGAAGATCTACGGGGAAGTGAAATTCATATGTGAGAATGTGGCTACACTGGATCCCATCAGCTTTGAGACACCTGAGGCCTATATTAGTCTGCCTAAATGGAATACCAAAAGGATGGGCTCCATCTCATTTGATTTCCGAACCACTGAACCCAATGGACTGATCCTTTTCACCCATGGCAAGCCTCAGGAGAGGAAAGATGCCAGGAGCCAGAAAAATACAAAGGTAGACTTCTTTGCAGTTGAGCTGCTAGACGGGAACCTCTACTTGCTGCTGGACATGGGCTCTGGAACCATTAAAGTCAAGGCAACCCAGAAGAAAGCCAATGATGGAGAGTGGTATCATGTGGATATTCAACGAGATGGAAGATCAGGTAGAGTGATGTCTTTTTCTTAAGTAGATTTACCTCTCAGATCCAGACCTAGGGCTGTGTATTAATTCTCAGAACCTTCAAAACATGTTAGATATGAGTCACCTACTTACAAAAACTTAGTGTTACTCCAGTGATGTTTATCCAGCAAAGCAAAGATGTGAATGGCTAGGTTTTTATTAAATATTTAGTGTGAACTTTGGATAGCACATCACAGAGGCAGTCTGTTAATAGTTTATTCATAATCTTCAGATATTCTAGACCTATCTTGGCAATTTCATACATAATTATAGTGATGACTTCTTTGTAGGCCACGGTAAGGTTTAAGATCCTTCAGAACCATTGTTATTTCGTTGTTGGTTTGAGAAATTCTCACTGATCTACTTTGGGTTTCTGTTCAAAAAGAAACTTAGCAGAAACCAAATGAAAACTTATTGCTGTGACCTAATATTACCATCTTTTTCTGGATCTTGTGTCTTTAAAGAGGAAGGGTTTGGGATCTTGTCATGAAGAAAATAGAAGTAATGGGCACAACCAGTGACAAAATTATGGCAACAAATCAACATTTCATCCTATTCTGTTTCCTTTAGTATCTTGGAGCTTTCAGCTAGGTTTCTTTACTCTCTCTTGGACGCCAAATTCTAGTCTTAATATCCGAGTCAGCATTCAGTGGATGTTCCTTTTCTTCCTCGCAGCTTCTCATTTTCAAAAATGTGTTTTAATTTATTTCTAATAATACACCTACCATGCAATTACCAAGCAGTATTTTGTTTGTTTCTAGTGCTGAATATCAAGCTGACATACTCATGATGTACGCTGAAATTGTGTAAGGAAACAAAATCATCAAATATTGTAACATCATCTTGAGAATATGTGAACAATTGTACTTGAATTCTTCCTGAGCCGTTGGGATCTCAAAGCCTGGCTGTATATCCCTTCAAAGGGAATTTTGCTTACATTTGCAAGTGGATTTGGGATTTGTCTGGTGATCTCCAGATGATAGCTTTAGGTCCCTAATTTTATGTTTCCAGTTGCTGAATGCCAGCAGTAGAGAGAATGCAGTGCTAGAATTTGCTTCCCTTGAGTTTTCAAAAAAGCTGACTTGTAGATACCATGCAAAGCCTAGCTGTTTGAACAGGTCTTTGCCTGAAGCTAGTTTTTTCTTTGATGATGTGAGAAGTTTCTTTGTATTTGGCATGGTGCTCTACTAGGACTTAGTATGTGTGGTTATATATTGCTATCTCCTGAAGACATTAATAGGAACATTTTATAAAGGAAGCTATAAATAAATAAATGGACCTTTGATTTCTTTAGAATTGCTAAAATTTAATTAACTTCCAACGATAAACTCAATTAGTGGCATTCAGTACTGCCTTCAGTTTTGCTTGCTCACTTGGGGACTATGTGGTCCCTGGAGAGATAGCTGCAGAAGGAGAAGAAACAGAAATGACACTAAGCTCTCTGCTAAGAAAGTTTGTAAAAACCTAGGAAGAGGGACACACATTCATTTGGACTAGGAGGGTATGACAGACGGCATTTCTACTTGGTGGATAAAACTGTAGGACTGACTTGTTTGTCGTCTGGCAGGGAGGTTTGTGATGTTCTGGACACTGATTAGAGATAACATTTTGAAGTAAAAGCACTTTGCTCAACGAGAACGAACACATTTGTATGTTCTTGTCTTTTCTCTATCTCTCCCCCCCCTGCCTTTTTTTCTTAATTGCATTTTCTGCTGACAACGAGTACTGGGTTAATGGTCCTAGTGACTGATGTCTGTTCTCCCCAGAAAACCAGGATACTGGTATTGATTTCTTCACACCATACCTTTAGCAAGCATCACACACTTTTATCCAGTGACACTTTTGGTAGGTGTGAGAAGGAAGTTCAGGATCTCTCCTTGTTTAGTCCTTGGCTTTTCTCCCAATAGGGACCAGAGAATAGTTACACCTTGGAGATTTTTTTTTTTCAAATGTGGATGCCTGTCATCTAGAAACTGAACTAAAATAATGAACTTAACTCAACGTAGGCTACAAAACAGCCATTTGGGTTTAATGAGCTAGTGACCTAGAGGTTCTGATTCTCATTACTAAAGCAACCAGGCCTTTATTAGGTGTCATCTCTCTCCTTCTTCCCATTTCTGTAACAGTCCAAAAGTTCAGGTTCGCTGAGCTTAGTAAAATAACCTAAAAATCCAAATACTTCCTACTGCAATGTACTAAGGCAGGAGCACAAATGCTGGGGAAGCATGGCAGTCATGCTCAAATAACCTCTGGCATCTCTAGTCACCTTAGGCTTTGTGTATGCTTTGGTCTGTGTTGGCTGCCAAAGCAACAAAAACTGTTTTTTCTCTCTACTCTGACAGAAGCTGACAGTGTGGACGTGGACACCTAGCATCCTGTAACCTTTCTGTCTTTGGGGAAAGCTCCTACAAAGTGTCCACAAAACCTGTCATGGTTTCTAGCTGGGGAACACTGAGCACGTTACACAAGACAATGTTTTCGGCTGGTCATTGGCTACAAAACACCCACTCAGACACTAAAAATCTTACTGGAAGGTTTGGTCTATGGTTGCATCAGTGCACTGCTTTGTATTACCAGCTCTGCCCTCAGTAACTGGGGTCTTTTGGTCTGTTTGTTCTTTAGCCCTGCATGAAGTGCCTAAGGGACTGGAAAGGAGATGCTTAGATGCTTCTGATTTCTCAAGATGGGATTTGATGTACCTAAACAGAGTTGAAAACATGGGATGTGACTGCTCCTTCCGAGGGTCAATTCAGAATTTCTCCATCTCAGCAGCTTGGTCTTAAAAGTGCTGTGCATCTGAGCTAGTACCATCTCCTTACAGGAATAGTTGCAGGGTACAAAAAACTGGCAGAAAGTTTAGGCTGCTGTGTAGCCTATTTCCTTTCATCATCTCATGCTCTTTCTCCAGGTTTTACACTTCTCCTTGGTATCCAGTATTCCAGTATTTCTTCTCTTTTGTTTTTGGGGTTTTTTTTTTTTTTACTTTTCTGGATTTTACAGCTGGTGGTTGTTTTCTCCATAGTAGCAGCTGTCTGGAGCTCAGCCCTCCAGTATTTTGGTTTGTTCTAGTCTTTTGCGTAATATGTACTCCACATGCTGCTTTTGAGGAGTAACAGCAGAGATGCTGGAAGGGGGGCTGTGATCCTGTGGCTCTGTGGCATGCTGCCTTTATGACTGTAGGTGTATTGTCACATCTTCTCTTTTCTTACTTAGTAAAAGGGAGAATGTCTGCTGTGCTGCAGCTTGTTTTTACAAAATGATTCATCAAATAACTGTGGTTCTCTTTGAGCCTTTAATTTGTAACACCTCTGTTGCTTCTGGCACTCTGCTACCTCTGACATTATTCCTAGATTATTACTGAACATCACACACATGAAATACCTTGTGCCTGTTCTCTACAAGCTGTTCTCTAAGAAGACATGTATTACAACTAAAGAAAAAGCATGTGTACACGACTGCACTTTCTCACAGAGACACAGACGAGAGCTAGCTATTAACTAAACTCTCCCACCTTATCGTAGGGGTGTATGATAAAAATGCAATGATGTGGAATTAATCTTAAAGCTTGGATAGTTGTCTCTGAGGACAGACTATCTTAATGACAAGGCAATTGGATGCGATGATTTATAGCCAGGGAGGGTGAATTGATGATTTTTAGCCGAGTGTCTTGTGGGCAGATGTCCCTATCACGAAAGCTGCTGAATGCTCTTCTGAAGAGTTCACTGCTCTGGGATGCGAGACCTGTGTTATGTTCCCTGTTTTTCTTTGGATGCACGGTCTGACCTTAAATAAGTCACTTCATTTCTTTGTAGCTGTTTCATGTGTTCTGATTATATTTCTGTATTATATGTTCTGATTATTTTATGTGCTTGGACAATTTCTTGAAATATATGGGAATGGCCTCGGTGCAGTATGCCACATCTTGCTTGGAGCATATGGAAGCTACTACAGTTTTAATACTAACTGTTCTTCAGAGATAACCTTTATCTTTCTCTACCTCAGTTTTCCTGTTTGTAAAATGGAAGTTAGAATACTTAACTTTCTTTGTAAAACCATGGAATAATTTCTTTTGGAACAAACTTCTGGAAATTTCTAGTCCAAACTCTGCTGAAATCTAGGCTTTCTTCAGGGTTGTGTCCTTTTGTTTTGAACGCCTGCAGGATGGTGATTCCACAACCTCTCTGATGTTTCCATTCCCATGTTTGACCACTCTCATGGTCAAAAATGTTCCTTTCTATGGAGTTGGAGTTTCCTTTGCTGCAACCTGTGATCAGTGTCTCTCGTCACTGCAAGTGCACACTGGTGACTCATACTCAAATTGTTGTCTGCCATATCCTCAGGTCCTTTTCTGCAGAGTTGCTCCTTAGCCAGCTGGTCTCCAGCCTGTACTTATGTGTGAGGTTGTCCTGCTCCAGGTGTAGGACTTTGTATTTATTGTTGTTGATTTACATCAAACATTTCTATCAGTCCTTTGCTCCACCTTGTAAAGGTCACTGTGAATGGTAGCCCTGTGCTTCCTCCAACGCATCAACCATTCTCCCCAATTTGATGTCGTCTACAAACTTGATGAGGGTCTATTTAGTTCCATCATAAAGGTCCAGCTTTGGAGGTACTGATGAAGTGTTTTCTGGAAGGGCTATGTAGTGTGAATTAATACGCTTTTACTTATCTTTTTTCTCTCCAGTTCTGATACCATCAAACTACTGTATGTTCTCAGTAAGTCTTTGCTTTGCTGGATGAATACCATTGAATAATGCTCAGTTTTTATATGTTATTATTTAGCCATTGCATTGTTATGCTTGTGACCTTATAATGCAAGTTGGGATACAGACATGTGGAAATGTTTATGGCCTGTGGTTCAAGAGGAGAGGGAGGTGTGTGGGAGACACTGTCTCTGTTAGGAGTGCATTTGGGTCAGGAGGAATCTTCACTGTCCTGAACTGAACCTTAAACATCCCTCAGTTATTGGAAAAAAATGAACCAGACTGAGGCTGTAAGTGAAAGCATTGATTTGTCCTTGTCCTCCTCATTTAGGTACTATATCAGTGAACAGCAGACGCACTCCATTCACTGCTAGTGGGGAGAGTGAGATCCTAGATCTGGAAGGCGACATGTACCTTGGTGGGCTGCCTGAGAACCGGGCAGGACTCATCCTTCCCACAGAGCTCTGGACAGCAATGCTGAATTATGGCTACGTCGGCTGTATCCGAGACTTGTTCATTGATGGAAGAAGCAAGAACATTCGGCAGCTGGCAGAGGCACAGAATGCCGCAGGAGTCAAGTCCTCCTGCTCCCGCCTCAGCACCAAGCAGTGCGACAGCTACCCGTGTAAGAATAATGCAGTCTGCAAGGATGGCTGGAACCGCTTCATTTGTGACTGCACTGGCACCGGCTATTGGGGTAGAACATGTGAGCGAGGTAAGCTGAGTTTTCTGACCTCAGTTACACAGAACTGAAGGTGTGCAAGAGAACTAGAACAAAATCCAGTGTTTCCATGAGACTTTCCCCTGCCCTTGTTGGTCTTCCCAATGCTAAGTTCCAGTCTCCACAGTAGGAAAGATTTCTTCTCTGATTGTTTCCTTGCAGTCTTTTCCACCTTCATTTCACGAGTTTACCTTCTTCACCTGCCACTTCACTCCCTAAGCCTTCTGAAGACCTTGTCTTCAGGTTCCCGAGTTTCTTTGGCTAAGTATGGTTTGTCTCCTAAGGCAGAAAATGCTGCTGCATGTGAGAAGTCTCAGGCAAGTGACTGGAAACAGTACCAAGTGTGAACTTGAGTTATGGAGATTTTTCTTGCATAGGACAGATGATGTATTCCGGTTCTGTCTAGTCTTCCTCTTTTTTGCATGGTAGGATTTCCTTGATGGCTGTTTATGGGTGAGGCCAGCTAATGAGATACTGTTAATAGCAACATGTCTCCAAGTTCACCTCTGATAAGGGAAATCTGTAGGAGATGGTGGGAGGTTCTCTGCATCTTATTCTTACTCATTCTGACTGGTAATTTAAAGACACATGATTGGAGTTATGAAGCACAAGTAACGCTGGTACAGGCAGGCAAAACATATGTGTTCTAGGCCACATGGAAAGGAATTTACTAATTTAAGATATCCAAGTTATATATTTCTCAATTACCAGGTGGTTGCATTAATTGTTGTTATCCCTATTGTGCTGGTGCCACCCTCAGAATTAGTTAGGTGAGTGGTTTTAGATAAAAAAAGATGGGGCTAAGATCACTTAGAAAAGAAAATACTCCCTAGAGGGTGTTTTTCTTATATTGAAACCAATCTTTCTGTTAATATTTGGCCATTAGCACTGAATTCTGGCTGAACTGCACTCACAATACACCCAAGAATTAACTGTAAACCGTTAGCAGAGTCTCAGGGCTTTCAGCACCTTCTTTCTGTTACCTTAATAGGCACCATGGCCTAACGATTATAGTACGTGTCTTAGAATTGGAAATTCGGATATTTTTGAGCTTCTGCCATAAATATTTGAGAAGCTCCCTTCCCATGCAGTGTTCCCCCTATGCATTTTTTAATATTGATCACAGTACCATGCCACTTATGAGAAAGAACATGAAAGTTAGGTACAATGCATAAAACATTAGGCAGAATTGAGATTTGCAATTCATTCACTCTCCAGAGGATTTTCTTTGGAGGAAGTTTTTGTTAATGACCAAAAATCTTCCTATAGACCAAATGGGGTTTTTAGGTTTTACAGCACAAGATCTATGATCATTCATAAAGCTTCTCACAGCCAACAATTTGTAGCATGCAGCCCTAAGCAGCAATAGTAGTTAATTGCCAGTGGTCCTTAAACAGTCCTTATGAAGCATCAACACTGCCATCCGTGCTGTGAGGACATGGGTGAAAATGTAAGATTCATGGGCATTGACTATGCCAATGTCAGCTCAGCAGTTCTCTCTTATAGACTACATCGAATTTGAGCATTCAGGAAAATATCAGAGGTTTTCTCAGCCACAGCCTTCGGAATTGTTTTGGCCAATTGTTGTGTGATTAGGTTTTGGACAGACATGACAAAAAGAAGTGCTACCATAAATGCATTGTTCCCCCACAAAATTGCAGTTATGCTTGCCCTTGGTCTTTATGTAGTATTAGGAGTGACCAGCTCTGTGATTCAGGACTTTCTGGACTCCGTCTCATGTCCATCTCCTGGATCTGGCTCTCAGAAGAGAATCCAAAGCTAACCAATAACATAAAGAAGAGGATTCATCTCATGTACCTTTAGATATCTGTGGTGTTGGCTTTTACTCCTTTTATTATCAGTGAAAAGAGATCAGTAGGTTAAGGGCATGTAAGCATTTGAATTTAGGAGAAATGAATCTCAAGTCTGGTCTGAGATCCATAAGTTGGCCATGCTCTGGACAGCATCAGTGTGAATAAGAAAGATACATGAATGAATGCATGTCTACCACTGTAGAAACTTGAGGTCCTAATATGTATGTGTTAGAATCAGAGTGTATTTAAGGTTAACAAAACAATGATGTAGTAGTTCAGGACAACATAAAAGATGTATGCAGAAGTCCTAATCCTGAGAAACTCATTTTGTCAGTAACTAGAAACCACGGACCACTTACTGGTTTAGGGCCAGTGTCAGGCAAAACGTGGCTTTCATGCCTGCCGTTCTTTGGCAACATGAGAAGCAGCTTACAGGGAATAAATACTTGTAGACTAGATACACAAAAAAAAATTGTGCAGACTGAAGTGTGTTTGACTGCTACATTTATTGTGGTGTTACATAGCAGTCTCATACTGCTCTGATACAACTACTTGATATCAGATGACTGCATTAGTGCACAGTTATTTTGCCTCCGTGAGCAAAAGTATTGCAAGCTACCAATGATATTTTTCATTCTTATGGTCTGACAGCCAAGGATTATTGCAAGTCCTGACTTCAGCTGACCTGTGATCCAAATGCTGTTGGAAGGAAAAAACTTGAGATGGAGACTGGGAAGGGAATCAAAGTGAGAGAGGCTGCCATGCCACAGTGGCACTTCTGCATAGTGACTAAAGAGCTGCCACAGGACTGGGGGGAGCCGGGCTGGTGCATAAGGGGACGAATGAAGAAGGAGCAGGCTAGCTCTTTTAGTAAGAGACAGCTACTGACCCACTTTTCCAGTCTGCCATCTGTTATCTGAGAAGGGCTGTCTCACTCACTTTACTCAGTCCTTAGACTTCTGTCCTGTTAAAAGAGAGGACTGTAACTCTTGGAAGGGGTTTTCAGCCCAAGATCTAGGGTAAAGTGTTAAGGGGCAGGGGAGCTAAGAATAAAGAATCTTCTACACCTCTTGGCTACCAGGAAGATCACTCTTTATCACAAAGCAAAGCACATACTTAACATTTAGTTAAGGTACTAAAAATGCAAAAGACATATATACAAGTCCAGGGAGAGAAGCAGACAATTAATTTTTTGTTGATGGTAAAGTTTATCTCCCGATTTCCAGGCATAGCATTTCTACATTTTTAATGTTTTATTTCTCATACATTTTATACTTTGCCATATGAAGGACTGTCATACGTCTAAAAGGGACTCAAAAAGGAAATTGATTGTGTTACAGTTAGAAAAGTTCTTTTTATTCATGGTGAAACAATACGAATACACAGTATTCAGTATGTCACCTGTATCTAAAGCCTGTGGGAGTTTGTCCTGTCGGTGAAGTAACACCTCAGCAAGTTACACTGAAAGCAACATAGATTTTGGTTGCAGTCATCTGCTCAAGCAGTACTTCTGTGCAGATGAAGAAACCTTGCTGTGGCTGCAGTTGGATAGGGCACGGAATGGAGAACTGCTGCCAAGGCCTCAAATTAATTCTTACAATTCCAGTATCTAATCAGTCTTTCAGTATTGCCAGGAATGCAAGCAGACAAAGGTGTTTTCAGTTGTAGCTTCTAAGGGTAGTGTAGTGCCTCCTTGGAGTAACTGAAATTGCACAGAAGAGATAGGGTGAGACATGGCAAAGACTAGTTCATGTCTGATATGACTCCCACCCAAGGAGGGGTATGTCAGGGAGTCAGAAGTGCTGGTAGGACTGCTCTGGTTCTTTCAGTAACTGTATGGTTTTCCTGAACTAACTAGGAAAGAATATTCTTGGGAGACAAATGGTGAAGGCTTCTACAGGTATACTTACATTCAAGTCTGTGCTGTAGAAACTAGAATGAATGGACATCAGTGTTTGATCCTCAGAAAGGCTGAGACAAACTACTTCACCTAAACAAGACTCTCCTCAGTCTTCATAAATTCCATTTGATCTGCTTGTGTGCTTGTGTTTCTCTCCATCTCTGTAGCCAGTGCCAGATGACACAGAAGGGAGATGAGATGAAAGTGCAATGGGATTCATGGGCCAGAAGTGCTTAATGCCAGGCTGTGAGGCTAAGCAAAGGCGGTAGCAAACGCTGACAATTAGCTAGATGTGGTCCTTATTTCATACCTTCCACTAGAGGCTGTGCTGACCAGGTAACACACCCGTTAGTTATTTATTTTCTTAAATCCTTGACCTTCCCATTCTCTATCATCTTTCCATAATGGTTCTCTAGTACCCAGTCTAACTCAGTGTGACAATGTTGGAAATCATATGTGAGAAGAGCCTTTTCAAGCCACTGTTAAAATTAAGGAGCTGCTATAAACATAGGAGCATTTGGCCAAGTTTCTGAAACTTCAGAGATTTGACAGTAGCTGTTGGAAGGGAGCGGTGGTGTGGCTGTCCACCAGGCTAGGAAATAAGACTCTGCTGGCTTTGCAAGTGGCATGAACTCAATTAAAGTAGTACTGTGACCTCCTTCTTTAGATGCCTCTGATAACTACTCTAAGATTAAAAAAGTAGAAGCCTGGCAACGAGGATCTGTGCAGTCAGTGGAAAGAGGTAGTTGCTTCTCAGGAGAAATTCAAAGCAATAACAAAATCTGCTTGCCTCTTTTTGTTGATTTGCTTGTCTCCTTTTATTGATTATGTGGAGATTCTGGTCTGATAATTCAGTATTGCTGCACTCCAGAAGGTAACTATGCTGCGGAGAAATTGACAGTGCCAAACTGCCAAGGCTACCAGACTGACAAAAAGAGGATGTCTTGTTTGGGGTGGGGGCATAAAGCAAAGAAAATAGAGAAGAAGCTAATAGACAGGACACAATCACTCCCGCAAGTGATGTTCTGGGTGCCTTGTAATGTGGTAATGATCTTGCCTCCCCCTGCTCCCTGAGCTCTTCTGCACTCCTGTTATATCTGATTAGAATATGTATGGTGGAGAGCAAGATTTAATCACACCAGAAAGACTCCTAAACTGAAAAGCAGGTTTTGGGTGTCTGTGAAATGAACGGCAGGCACAGCGAAGTGGATTTGTGATGGAAGTTATGACTGCAAGTACATATTGAGGCTTTGTACCAAGTTTGCTACGTCTTGGGTTGT